GCACCATCAGATATTTAACTGCTTCCAAAGCATTGTGACCTAAGAGAGGAGATGCTCCAGTGAGCCCATGGGGAAAATTATTAGCATTATGTTTCAGTGCACCTGATAGGACAAGAGGTAATGGCTTTGTGTTGCACCAGGTTCAGGTTGGATATTAGGAGAAATTTCTTCTCTGGAAGAGTGACAATGCATTGGGACAGGCTGCCCAGGGAGGTGGTGAAGTCACCATCCCTGGAGATGTTCAAGAACTGTGGAGATGTGGCACTGAGGGATGTGGTCAGTGGGCATGGTGCGGAAGGGCTGGTGGCTGGACTTGGGGATCTGGGAGGTCTTTTCCAAACTTAATGATTCATTGCCTGTCCTGCAAAGACAAACAGTAAGTATTGGGTTGGGACAGGACAAGACACAGCTATATTGCTTGGAAAGAGGCTCTTCAGGAAGCCTCACGCCATGGTGAGACCCCCGTATGAGACCATAGCCCTTTTCCTGCTGCTGGAACTTTGTGCTTTCTTATGGTTGCCACCACAAAGCTGTAACACTCTCCCTGATCCATCCCAGGACTCTTATTGTTCCTTAGAATTAAAGACAGTTGAAATAATAATGATGCCATCAGCCCTGTGAGCTCACTGGCACTCTGAGTTGTCCAGATCAATAGAGGCAGAACAGACAGAGCCATGAGAAGAGCCACTTCAGGAGGGTTTGATGTTTTCCAGGAGTGCTAATGAAAGATGCCCCAGACTCCCTCTGGGTCACTGCCATGGAAGGTCAGACTGTCAGTCCCCATCGATTCCCTCCTGACTGGCACTCATGCTAATGAATTGTCATAGAGGACCATTGTGCTAATCAACTCACTATTAATGCGAGCTTAAAAATGACTAAGGTATTGATTAGAGACAGCGACTCAGCTTCCAGCTGGCTGGTTTTGAGATCTAGCACTACCACTAATGGTGGCAGGATATACTGGTCCCCAACCATTCTCTTCTGTCCCTTCATCTGGGTATGGCAACGAAATTATCCTCAGCTACTGAAGGCAGCAAGAGCTGTGGCTGGCCTTCACACACACAGCAGAATCTATGATCAGGGGCTGGTTGTGTTCCAACAGTGTTCCAAGGGGCAAGGAGTCCGATCTCTTCTCAGAAAAGATTCTGCCCTAGAGGGTGATGGAAATGGATAAGCTCCCAAAGGGCATGGGCATGCACTTGAGCTGCTGGAGCTCAGTAAGCGCTTGGACATCGCTCTCAGACACAGAGTCTGGATTTTGGGTGGTGCTGTGTGGAGCCGGGGGTTGGACTTGATGATCCTTGTGAGCCCCTTCCAGCTCAGGATATCCGATGACTCTATGATCTCCAGAGCCCAGCCTCTGCTCAACCTGGCATACAGTGAGGTGTGACTTCAAGCATGAGGCTCCTCTTCCCATAGGACTCTCCATGAACTCTCAATTCTTGGCTGACAATGAGCCAGCAGTGTGCCCAGGTGGCCAGGAGAGCCAACAGCATCCTGGCTTGCACCAGCAATAGTGCAGCCAGCAGGAGCAGGAGCTGATTGCCCCCCTGTGCTCAGCTCTGGCATGGCTGCACCTCAAGTGCTGTGTTCAATTCTGTGCCCTTCACTGCAAGAAAGACATCAAGGCCCTGGAGTGTGTCCAGAGAAGGGCAATAGAGCTGTAAAGGGTCTGGAGCACCTTATGGGTCTTATGGGGAGCTGGGATTGTTCAGTCTGGAGAAGAGGAGACTCAGGGGTGACCTTACTGCCTTCTACAACTGCTTGTAAGGAGGCTGCAGTGAGGTGGGTGTCAGCCTCTGTTCCCAAGTAACAGTGATAGGATGAGATGCAATGGCCTCAAGTTGTGCCAGAGGGGAGATTTAGGTTGGATGTTAGGAAAAACGCCTCCAAATGAATGGCCAAGCACTAGCACAGGCTGCCCAGGGAGGTGGTTGAGTCACCATCCCTGGAGGTGTTCAAGAACCATGTAGATGCGGTACTCAGGAACATGATTTAGTGGGCAATATTGGTGGTAGGTGGACAGTTGGACTAGATGACCTTAGAGGTCTTTTCCAACCTTAATGATTCCATGATTCTATGATATGGTGAATTTCTGAGGGCATAAGAAAGGTATAAAAAGGACAGTGGTGCCCCTGGGCCAGAGAGAGGCCATCTCCTACACTCACTGGCACAACAGGAGAGAGGTGGCAGTTCCAGGTGCCTATTGGGATGTTGGTCCCAGCACAGTCACTCTTCAAGGCACACAGGAGAACTCTACCTGTGACCTTACCCTGCATATTCCCCAAGGGATTAAGCAGGAGATAGCGATATAAATGAGATCCACAGCTCTAACCCACCCCCAGGAACCCTCCTCAGATATTTCACCTGTCTTCAGTGGTTACTGGAGAATGTGTCCTTAACCACTCATCTTGCGATTCTGCTGAGTTCTGGACTCAGCTTGGTTGCATTGAGGCAGTGCAAATGACATTTCCCTAAGCTGATGCAGACCTTTTCTTACTCCAGAGTGGCTAATTAACAGAAAATGCACCTATGACTCTGGAGAAACATCCCTGACTTGAAGGAGGGATGGGTGGGTGCTGATTCCTCCAAGCAGGAGATATTCTGTTGGGAACTTCCCAGCTGAGGACGGGGAAGAGGGAAACCTGCTGTGTCAATCTGCTGAACAAACCAGGACTGAACTTCTCCAGGAGATGGGATGGAGTGGTGTATACGAAAGCCTTTACAAGGTATGAAAACTTTGTATTTGATATTTTCAGTGGTTGGCATGAATTGGATCATCTGCCCTATGGGAGAGAGGAATCTGAGTCCCCCACTCACCTCCCACTCCCAGCTCTGATGGAAAGGTGAGATCCACCTGAGGATCAATTCCTCCATCAGTTTCTCCTCTGCCCAACTTCACACCCCTCCAAACCAAACCAAATACTAAACGCTCCATTTCACACTGAGAGAGAAGAAGGTAAATGTTCTATTTACTTTTTTTTTTGCAGAGGAAAAGGTTATCAAAACTACCAGAAATGACTTGAAAAATGGTGGGTTCTGCCTTACTGCATGCAGGACTAGGGCAGCTACCAAACAGGGAATCAGGAAAATATGGACAGCCTTGATCCTTAAGGGGAAACCAGCTGATAAGGCTTTTATTTACTGTGGCACGTCAATACCAAGCAAGGTACCTGCTGCAGGAACTCTAACTGAGCAAACAGCATTGTAGCAATTACGTATTATGAGACCTGGCAAGCAAAAACCCTTTTGGAAGTTGGCAGTGACTCCAGTTATGGGATCTGATCTGTTTTGCACTCGGGGACTTTGTTCTGGGATGTATGAAGAGGGTTCTCCTATAGAAAAAGAGACTGTTTTGGGACCCTAGAACTGGGTTTGATCCACCATATGTCCATACTATAGCCAAGCAGGGATGAATCCCCACTCATTTCTCTTCACTGAATACAGCATGTCTTGGGATATAAGCAATGACATCAACTTCTCCAGCAGTGTCCATGGCATGGCCATATGTGGTTGCTGAACTTTGGCTGCAGGCAAGACTCAAATTTCCCAACTTCTCTCCATCTCTGTTTGACTTTTCCTTTCTCTCTAACACAACTTGTGCATATCATGTTATACACTGTCATTGGGCTAGAGAGGGCATGGTGTCCAGGACCTCCATGGGATCTGGAGAAGAAGCTGGACTCTTTCGGGGATGATCTACACAATCAGTAGGCCATGGGTATCATGCCATCTCATGCTGGTTTCCCATCATTGCCCCCTCCTTACACACCTCAGGGAAACCTCAGTCCATACTTTAAGGAATGCACACCATCATTTGGGTGCAAACAATCATAAAAATACTTTTTCAAAGGACATTTCCACCCGTGACTCTCAAGAAGTGTCACTAAAGTACCTTCTGGAGGAGGAAAAGGGGATGTCCAAAGTTAGCAGTTCATCCACTGTCAATAGATGAGACAGGAACAAAACATCCTGGATGTGGTCTGCGAAGCGCTCTCTATAGATCACAGAATCAAAGAATGGTTTGGGTTGGAAAGGACCTTAGAGATCATCTAGTTCCAACCACCCTGTCATGGAAAGGGACACCTTCCATTAGACCAGGTTGCTCAACGCCCCATCCAACTTGGCCATGAAGATGTTTTAAGGCCATAATCATGCACAGATTGCTTTTGCTGCAGGGGACTAGCTGCTGGCTCAGACCTACAGCCTGCTCTGAGCTGCTGGCTCTGCACACAAACGCATACCTGCTCCAACCCAACTCAGTAACAGAAATACAGGCAGCAAGAGGAAGGCAACATGCTTGAGCACACCTCCCCACATTGACCCCCAGTGTTAAACAGTGAAAGCTGTCAGGAAAAGCAAGGTCCACCCTCCTATTTTTTTTGTCCAGTGAGTTTGCAATCTGCTGAACACAACATGTCTGAAGGTCCTTCAGCTTCATGGTAAGGTGAGCTTCCATAGGTCTGGTCTTCAGAGACATGGAGCAGTCACAGTCACAGTCACATAGGAGTCACAGTAAGTTGCAAGCGCTCAGCATCCTTGCAAGGATCCATCTCAAACAAGCCTCCCATTCTGGATGGTTGGGATGGAAACTAGAAAGCAGCACTCTCTCCAGGATGCCTCTCCTGTTTGCAGCATGGCAATTTGTTTTTCCATCAGGCATGCCGTGGTTGGAAGGGTAAGAGCAGTCAAACATTTCCAAGCCAGCAAGACTGTGCCAGCCAGGCCTGGTGAATTCCTGAACTCACAAGCAAGCAGAATTATACTCTAGGCAAATAAAGCAGCAAGCATCCACGGCTCATCCTCCCTCTTCCCCTCCATTCAGATTGAGGAAAGCATGTTAAGTGAATGTTTTTCAGGGGTGAGGAGCTCCAGAAGTGCCAAGGTGTTCTCCACCATTTTGTTATGCCATCTTTCAATGAAGAGCCACGTAGAAACAACTGAGAACTGAACAAAAGAAAGAAAAACGAAGACAAAGCATAGCTGAGCAAGAAGGACAGAGCAGGAGGAAATCAGGCCTTAAAAACGATGGAACCCGTCAGCTGAGCAGGTTCAAGGCCATCGGTGAAAGCAAGGAGGAAATACATCACCTTGCGGATCTTGGCTAACTCCACGAGCCGCTCCCCAAATTCTTGGGCATCTGCCTCATTGCACTCCACCTCCTTGGCCCCTGGTTTCTTCCAGAAGATGCCCACTGGTTCCAGCAGCTGCCGGTTCATCAGGTGGGTGAGATCAGGAGTCCAGTGCTGGGAGGTGCCGGTCACCATCACCTTCCCAGATCTCTCCAGTTGGATGTCCCAGCGCAGGAAGCGCAGGTTGTGCTGCCGGATGAAATCCACCCTGTAGACATGCTCGTTGGGATGCAGCAGCTTCTCACCATCCTGGGGCCTGGCGTTTTTCTGCTGCAGGCTCTGGGCTCTCAGACGCATGCACCGGGTGAGCTGGTCATCGTGGATGAAAGGCAGCTTGAGCTCTCCTGCTTCGGCTGCCATCTCCTCCACTGCTCCTCTGCTATGTCCTCAGCAACGTTTGGCTCCCAGATAGGACACGCAGGGGTAAAAATTCTGGTGCACCTTCGTCCCAGCGGTGCTAGGCAACCCAGGCCAGTGACGCAAAACACCCTCCAGGGCTTCCTCTGGGTGCCCTCCCATCTCGTTTGCAGATTAGGAACTGATGGTGCTGCTGTGCATGATAATCTATAGGGAAGGGATATCTGATGTCAGCCTCCCTGGCAACCTCCCTGACAACGGCTCCAGCAAGCCAAAGTGCAGCTCGTTATCCCTAAATGAAGGTGCACAGCCAGGGCAACCATCCTGCAGGTGTCGGTGCCAGTGTATTCTCAGAATATTGGTTCGTGGGATCATTCATGTTGGAAGCAGCTTCTGGAGGAGTCTGTTCCAGCCTTCTGCTTGGACTGGGACTTTATGGTTAAACCACGTTGCCTGGAGGTTTGTCTGTCCCAACTCTGAGCACCTCTTTGCATGGAGCAGACTGGACCCCAGTATCAGAACATGTTCATGCTGAAGATATTTCTTTTTTTTTTTTTTTTAATCCCCCTTTATATCTCATTTCCCATGCTGCTGTTGAATTTTGTCATTTAATTGTGCTCAAATCTGGCTCTGTCTTGTCTGTACCCTGCCTCCTCCAAACAGCAAAAAGCTCCTCCTTCATCTTCTCCTGGCCACACAAAACCATCTCTCTGGTGTCTGTAGACCCTAAATCTGGACAAATCCCAGATGAGGAGTCACAAGTGCCTGTTGGAGGGGAAGAATAATTTATCTTGCCCTGATGGCTGCATTCATGGCAATTTGGCACCACGTGTGGCTGTTCATCTCTACGAAGTTTCATGTTTGATTCACAGCCAGGACCCCATGTCTTCTGCTGGGTGGCACTGCTGGCAGGAAGCTTTAGTGGGCGCCAACAGCTCAGCACAGTCTGCTGCCCTCGAATGGACTGGACTGATGTTGGACAAGGTGCTCATGCATGGACTTCCCTTTTACTCAGTGCTTCTGGGAAATGGGGATGTGGTCTGGACCTTATGTTTGCCTCTTTGGGCCAGGTGAAGGACCATTTCCAAGATGCAAGCAAGCTCTTCCAGGTGCTGTAGAGATGCTCTGAGTCCAAGTGAGCACCAATAAAACTGCTATGCCTAACCTGGGGCTGCTCATTTCCTGAAAACTACTGAGTATGGTTATATCCAGAGCATCTGTGCTGCGTTGGTCAGCTCTCCAGGCAGTGGATGGGATAAAACGAATGCTCCCTCTTTGCAGGGTGTCTCCAAGAGGCTGTGGATCCCAAACAGAACTGCCATGTTTAACAATGCACCCCTCTGCCATGCACCATGAAAAGATGGCTAAACCATCATCATGACTTCAGGTGTTCCACGGAAAAGGCCTGACTCCTTCAAGCACACTGTGCCATCCTTAGGATAGAGCCACTGGTTTGGACTGTCAGAGAGCCCATGGATTTCAGCATTAACTTTTATGTGGCACACTGTATGGAGTTAGGTTGTATGGTGTTATGGTGATTCTATGATTCTATCGTTAGGTTCTTTGGTTCTCTCCGTCCTATCTGTGACTCATGCTGGCTTCTGTCACATCACATTTCTGCAGAGAACTTTGAGAGTTCCAGCTGTGCTAAATAAAATCCAGGAAAGAGTTTTCTAAAGTATTTTTAAAGGCACTGCTATCACTTGGGCTATGCCACACAACTTAGTGAGCATGATCCTTGGAGGTTTTAATTTGGTCTTCTATAAGAAGTCTCCAAAAAAGACCATCAGAAGACATCAGGAACCCAAGGTGGGTCACTGCACCGGGAACTGCCCTGTACTCACCAGTCTGATATTGCTCCTAAAGACGCTATGAGCAGAGTCAAATAAGCTATAGGGCCACACATAGCCCCATTTGAAGGGATTAAAGAGAGGTTTGAGGAAACCAGACCCTTCTTGATGTCCTCTGAGCTCTTGCTTTGCTTGTTTGCTAGCTTTTAAACACCTTCAGCAACAACTGACATATCAACTCTTGGGTTTTAAAGCTAAAGATGCCTTCAGGAAACCCGTGAGACCTGGTTACAGATCCAGATTACCTTCTAGAACAAAGTGCTACTGGAAATGACTTAATCCCCTCCATAATCCAATGTCTTTATTTCTTTTCAGTAGAGCTAGACATCTCAGAAGGGCCACAGAACAGAATTTTATAGAGCCAGTCTAAAACCACATAGGGCCAGACAAGACTTAAGATATTAGGAAATTGCTCTCAATTTTCTTCCAGTCCCTTGTTCCTACCCATTTTTTTCTAGGAGCAATGGGAGAGCTGGACCAAGACCCCTGTGCTGATATTTCAGTGATATTAACACCTGCACCAGCATCTTTTAATTCTTCCCAGACTTTAAATCAGAGACATTCTAGTGTCTAATGACAGTTCAGCAGCTTAGTGTTTTGCTGTCTTGCCTGTCCTATCAACTGTTGCTTTTATTGGTGTATGGATGGGTTAGGAGCAGACAATAGCATTGCAGGGTCCTGGGTGTGCAGATGCTGTAATGCCATTGAGCCACCAATAAACATTCTGGGCATGGGGAGAGGACTGCAACTTTAGCTTTTGCTGTAAAACAAACCTTTCTGAAAGACAGAAGGATGCAAAGATGCAGATAAAGAACATAAAGCTCTGAGAGTTAAGGGTATGGAAAATGAGAAGTCACAAACACCTACAGCAAAATTGCCAAGGGAGGAAAAGCAATGCCATTGGTAAACCGAAATAATGAGGTGTCCAAAGAGACCTGGCTTCTGTTTGGTTGACATCTCCCAGGGCAGGGCTGGAGGTGAATGGTGAAGAGGGAGGAGAACTTGCCTTGGGGAGATGACGATGCAGAGGAACAGCTTAAATAACACCTTACACCACGCCTCTAACAACAGCCACAAGCTACAGAAGTAGGAGGAAATCTTATTGCTTAACCAGAAGCCAACAAAACCTACCTTGTTCACACGTGCTGGAAAGACTTGATTTTAAAAGAAAATAAAAGACAAATTCCCATGGTGGAGCTCAGTGTTTATGACCGCAACAGTAGAGACTGGACGAACCTCAGCACACAGAACAAGGAGGGAATACTGCTCTGCTGCAGTAGGGGGCTGTGGGTGAAGCTGCCAACACTACGGGGCTTTGGTGTCTGCCTTTTCACATTAAAATCTAGATAAAGGCACTTGCAACTTGCTGGCCCCTTGTCCTAGACACCTGTACCAGACTGAAGACCACAGCTGCACTGGCTTTCATAGGCTTGAATTCTTCTCCTAAGGAGGACATGGTAAAAACGGCCACAGGCTGGCAAAGGATGCGGCATCTCACACCTCCTGTCCCTTCACACTGCTCAGGCTCTGCCCCCTATTCTGCAGCTCCTTGGTGCCCTCCTGCTCTGTGACAGTGCAACCACGATGCCCTTGGACCCCAATCTTATGGAAATCCCACTGTGCGGAGCAAACCATCCATGGGACCTGCCAGGGATGTGTGTTTGAGGAACAGTGGCTTGGGAGGCACGCTAATATCCTTAGATCATCCTACTGCCCCTGTGCAAGGTGTCTTATAGCCAAGGTGAGGACACACTGGGCAGCCAGAGAGGTAATACCATGGGAAACAGGGACTTCCAGCACTGCAGTTGAGCATCCTGAACATATATATATATGTATATGGTTATTCTGGAGTGGGGAGGGTCAGATTTGGGATGTGGAAGGACAGAGCAGGGCTTGATCCTTGTGGTTATGGAGAAACTCACCAAGAGTTTGGCTCAAATGCAATGTGGCTGTAATCACAACAATTCCTCTCAAAGAACATTTTTTTTTAAGAGAGGTTTTCCACATGAACAGCTTTTCAGGACTGAAGCATTTCTGAAGATCCAGTATCTGAGCCAGGCAAACAAAGCACGAGGTGTTGAAGAGAAGCTTACCTTCTGCCACAGGGCCTCGCGGGATGCCAGGGAGGAGCAGGCAGCCACAAACCAGCAGTTCCCAACCTGGCCCTGGTGTAAATCATGGGAACTGATCCCGTCCACAAAGAGATGGGGATCGGCACAGATTTCCTGTGAGACAGGAGAAAATAAACACAGTGAGTGAGGAGGCAGGGAAATACAAAGCAAGGCTACCTGGCAGAGGAAAATCACTTTCTCTGCTCCTCAGGTTCCCTTTAAATCCCACCTGCAGCTTTGTGCTGGCCTGGCTCATCACACTGGTAGCAGGAGGACCTTGTCCTGCCTTATGCTCTCCCCAGGACATGACTACGTTGCTGCTGAAGTGATGCCAGATCCTCTCCCTGAAGGATGGCTATTCTGTTCCAGCATCAGCACATCTCTGCTATCATTATCCATGGTAATAATGGTACATTTTCACATCACTACAGCCCTAGTGACCCATCTCCTCCTGTAAGTCTACCCTTTGCCTTTTCTGCAAGCCCTTCAGTTCTGACAAAGCTGTTTATCAAGCTTCTCCCTCTCACTTCGCTCTGGGGACCTTGTGATGGAAAGGCATTTGGTGCTGAGAGTATCACAGAATCATAGCATGGCTTGGGTTGAAAGCGACCTTAAAGCCCATCCAGATCCCAGGGTCTAACTCAGCCTGGCCTTGGGCATTTCCACAGACACTAAGTGTCTTCATCCAAGAGGCTCACTGTTCTCCAGCAGATGGTGAAATGTTGGTAATGTTGGCTTTGTGAAATGTGAAATACTGCAGGTTTTGTTGTTGTTCTTCTTTTTTTGTGGTTTTTTTTTTTTTTTTTTTTTTTTTTTTGTGGCCTGATCAGTCCAGTTTGGAAGGCTAAGACCAGTTGGAGGCTGAAAGTGGATGGGGCAGAGAAAGAGTTGAAAGAAACTTTTTTGCTTTGCTATTCTATCTAATTTAAAGGAGTGAAAGACAAAGCAAATCTCCTTTCTCTATGCCCCTTAATTTTTCAGGTTATTTACATCCAAAGTAACACACTCCCCAACCTTTGCACATCAGGACTTGCATTGCTTG